TTATTATTATTATTATTATTATTATTATTATTATTATTATTATTATTATTATTTTGGCATCGAGGATGTTATACACAAAAATGCAGTACTATATGGTTATATAATTATTGGTGAATGAAAACAAAAATGACACTTTTACAACCTAATCTATGAAAGTAACAGATAAGCATTGATGGCTATGGTGACCAGAAAAATAATATTATTCTGTGTGTTCATGAATTTGACCTGCTGTTTCCTGCTGCCAGAGCCTATAGCTCTGCTTTGGCAATAATAACAGTGTGTAAAATGTCAGCATAATGAGAGGTTTAGGTGATTTCATTAAATTCACTTACTGTTTGTTGAAGGAGAATTTATTTCACCTAGGTACTGACACTATTTTTACAATGGATTCAGACACCTTGACCTTTTACTCATTATTCACAAAGCTATGTGATCTGCATTTATCATTTCCAGTATTGTTATAGTAGTAACTTTGTAACTTTGATTTCTGCAGCATTAATGCATATTTATATCTGATCACAGACATCCTTACAGTCATCAATCTTTAAAGTCCTGAATAATTGACAGACTGAAGTTCTAAGGACTTGGTGATTTGTGAACTTCAAAAATTCCTTGCCTAATTTCTGTGTTGCGGCTGGCTTTAAAAAATAAAAATAAATAAATAAAAATAGCTTCCATTAGATTTCTGCAAAGCTGTCCTAAACCTTTTGAGAGACCATTATTGCCATAGAACCTTAGATACATATTTCAAATAAAAGCAAGCAAACATGTAATTAATGTCATCTTCTGCTATTGAAATCTGGTCACATAAACATGAGTAGGTATCCTAACTCAAAATTGTAAACATATTATAAGATAATCAGGTTTTTTTTCTTCCTGCACTGACTGTCTATCACAGTATATAGGAGCTGAAATGAATGAATATGAGCTCAAAGTGCAGACTTTCAGCTTCAATTTGAGGGTGTTTACATCTAAATCAGGTGAACAGAGGGAGCAAAAGTAATTGGACAATGGGATGCTCAGCCGTTCCATGGCCAGATATGTGTTTTTCACTCATTATTTCACTTATACTTCAAACAGATAAAACTTCTAGAGTTGATTTCAAGTGAGGCATTTGCATTTGGAATCTGTTGCTGTTAACTCTCAATATGAAGTCCAAAGAGCTGTCACTGGCAGTGAGGCAAGCTATCATTAGGATGAACAATCAAAACAAACCCATTAGACAGATAGCAAAAACAATAGGTGTTGGCCAAATCAACTATTTGGTAAATTTTTAAAAAGAAAGAACACACTGGTGAGCTCAGGAACACCAAAAGGCCCAGAAGACCACAGAAAACAACTGTGGTGGATGACAAGTATTCTTTCCCTGGTGATGAAAATCCCCTTCACAACAGTTGGCCAGATCAAGAACAAACTCCAGGAGGTAGGCGTATCTGTGTCAAAGTCAACAATCAAGAAAGAGGTAAAACAAGAGTAAATACAGAGGGTTTACTGCAAGATGTAAACTACTGGTAAGCCTCAAAAACCAGAAGAACAGAATAGAGTTTGTCAAAAACACTTCTAAAAAGGCCCATACAGTTCTGGAACAGCATCCTATGGACAGATAAGACAAATATCAACCTGTACTGGTATGATAGGATGGGAAGGAACTGCTCATGATCCAAAGCATACCATCTCATCTTATGGCATGAGAAGGTATGAGCATGTATATATAGCCTTCTTTCATCTCAGAAATATTTCTAGGATAAGAGATATAATGTCACCACATGATGCAGAAAAACTAGTTCATGCTTTTGTTACCTCTACGGTGGATTATTTTAATGCCTTGCTGTCTGGATGCTCCAGTTGGTGCATAAACAAGCTCCAGTTAGTCTAGAATGCAGCAGCCACATAGTCCTTACTAGAACCAGAAAATATGATCACATCACCCCCATCTTATCCACACTGCGTTGGATCCCAGTAAAACTTTGCATTAATTATAAAATACCACTATTGACTTACAAAGCCTTGAATGGTCTCGCACTGCAGTACCTGAGCAAACCTTTGAACTCTTTTTATCCACCACGCCTGCTTCAATCAAAAGGCTCTTTTTTGGTAGCTCGAATAATGAAGGCTACACCAGGGGGCTGAGCTTTCTCTTATAAAGCTCCACAGTTATGGAACAGATTTCCAATTAGTGTTTGGGACTCAGACACAGTCTCAGTGTTTAAGTCTAGGCTGAAAAACATATTTGCTTAGTCAAGCCTTTTGTTAATAAGTTTTTCTTTTAGGTAAAAGAAAAACTTATTAACAAGGTCGCAGATTTAGAGGGTTCATAGGCATGGAGTGTTCTGGTAAACTGGGATGTTTGTATGCTCATAGCAAGTCATGCCAGAGTTCCTGCTTACATCTTCTTAAACCATTACTGGACAAGAGCATACCTAATAGTTTGTGTTATTCCTCCTTCCCTCCAACTGTTGTGAAGGGGTTTTTCTTCACAGGAAAGAATTCGTTATCCATCACAGTTATTTTCTGTGGTCTTCCAGGCCTTTTGGTGTTCCTGAGCTCACCAGTGTGATCTTTCTTTTTAAGAATGTACCAAATAAATGATTTGGCCACACCTAATGTTTTTCTATCTGTCTGATGGATTTGTTTGGATTTTTCAGCCTAATGATGGCTTGCTTCACTGGCAGTGACAGCTCTTTAGACTTCATATTGAGAGTTAACAGCAACAGAATCCAAATGCAAATGCCACACATGAAATCAGCATTACACCTTTTATCTGCATACTTACTTAAGTAAAATAATGAGGGAATAACACACTTCTGGCCATGGAATAGCTGAGCAGCCAATTGTCCAATTACTTTGGTTCCTACAATTTCACCCAATTTGGATGTAAATACTCTCCAATTAAAGCTGAAAGTTTGCACTTTGAAATATTCCTTATTTAATTTCAACTGCTATACAGTATATACTGTGGAAGACAGTTAAAATAACAATAATGTTGTCCATGTCCAGATATTTATCGACTTGACTTTATGTGTAAAACCATTTACACCAAAGTTTGATTAGCCAAGTATTGTCAACTAAAGTTTACATTTCCAATGTGCTCTACTCACAAAGATTACCTACAATCTGAGGCATATTTAATGTATGAATAATCTGAGTGTTGCATGTCATGCAGAGCAGGAACATTGAATGTCTGTGCTTAGAACAGGCACACTTCAGATCCTGACTTTATTTTTGACAGTTATTGAACCTATGGCATTTCTTAAAGATGACCTCTGGAAAGTAGGGCCAGATTGTTTATGGTGAGGTTAAAATAATGTATGCTGCTGCTTCAGAGAAATGAGCAATAACTCTGTAAGCACTGGATACCTGCCTGATGAGGACTTTTACAGACTCCACTCAGGCTTATTTCTTTGTGTTATAAAATGCAGAAGCTATAAAAAACAGGGTCAGTAAGTAAAGACGATTATCCTTTATATGCATCCTGTTACCCTTCTGACCAGCAGATCAGCTACCCATTTATTCACAGTCAACCAACTGTGTGATAAAAACACATACTATTATATAAGCAGGTCTTATACAGTACTTCAAAAGTCTTAGGCACCCTAATTTTGTTATAGATGTTTATTTTATGACTTCAGCATTGAGTTTCCAACAAGTTTTTCAACAAAAATGCTCTTTATAGTAGATGTTTCTAAGCAAAAAAAAAAATTAAATTTTCAGTACTTTTCAACACATTTACAGCATTTCTTCGCATGTGCCTAAGACTTCTGCACAGTACTGTATAACAAGATTATAATCATCCTCTCCTCTCTCTTTCAAGTCTATCACAGTATATAAGAGAGAGAGAGCCCTCCCTCTTTCAAGAATTAAAAGAGCATATCAAAATGAGGCTTTATTTTCAGAATCCTCATATTTTGTTAGAGGGTTTATTTGCTGTTAAAAATATCTTGGGACTTTTATGTGAACAAGAACAACGGCACCACAAATGGGCATAAGACAATGTAGTTTGTTTTTTAAATAAGTAATTTAGCTTTCTTTCTAGTCCAGACTGTAGATATGTACATACAATCTTCATTCATGTTTGTGTCAAGTGATTATAGGTAGTGAAATGCCTCCTAGACTTGGTCTCCATTTGAGTTAATTTTGTTGAGCATGCTTCACTGACACGTCCATGTGGTTGGATTTCGTTTGATGACATACAGATGAACGTCAGAGATAAATGTATAAACACTAACCATACCCCTACCTCTAACTGTAACCTTTCATTACTTTTCTTGCAAATTGAGTTGTGCAGATTGTCATGCAAAAGACATTTTTGCATGATGGATCATTTTATTTGACAGCATGTCAATCACTGTGGCTCATCATCACCCAGACGAAAATGATTGCAAATACAGAACAACAATCTGGACTGATTTGTGATTGGTAGCACTGAAAGTATAATAATTCATTAACTGCTTTATCCTGGTCAGGGTCATGCTGAATCCAGAGCCTATGCTGGGAACACTGGGACTGAGGCAGGAATACACCCTGAATGGGACACCAGTCCGTCGCAGTACACTGTGCACACACATTCACACTTAGTGGCAATGTAGAGTAACCAATCCATCTGCTGGCATGTTTTTGGGAGGTGGAAAGAAAATGGAAAACCCAGAACATGGGGATAAACATGAAAACCTCCTGAATTCCTGAGTAGTAACCCAAGCTCAGGATCAAACCTGGGATCATGGAGCTGTGAGGCAGCAACGTTACCTGCTGCCATTGTGCACATTTGTGTACACATGATTGGTTTATTATTATTAATTTTGTAGCGTTTTACTACCCAAAATAAATGTCCTTCTTTAAGGTTTTTAAAGAAAAGCTGCCTTTTCTGTGTGGAAAAAGCACACACACACCTACCTACCTAAAGCATAAGCAACTTGGCTCGTTGGTCTAGGGGTATGATTCTCGCTTAGGGTGCGAGAGGTCCCGGGTTCAAATCCCGGACGAGCCCAGGTTTTATTCGGGGTGGGCCAGTGGTGCAATGGATAATGTGTCTGACTACAGCTCAGAAGAGTCTAGGTTCAGCTCCTGGCTGGCTTTACTCTCCTTTATCCCACCCAATGTTATGGATGATGGCACTGTTTGACTGACACAGAGATCAAACTACAGCCCACCCAACTGACAAACTGCCCCTCTCCTGACCCTGGCTGCTTCAAGCCCATTTACGCAGCCCTTTGTATGTAGCCGCATGTGGGGTGGTCCCATATGGCCTAGCGGTGAAGCTCCCAGGTTTGGGCAGTGGTGGCTCAATGGCTAAGGCTCTGGGTTATGGATCAGAAGTTTGGGGTTCAAGCCCCAGCCCCACCACGCTGCTACTGTTGGGTCTCTGAGGAAGGCTCTTAACTCTCTCTGCTCCAGGGGCACCATATCATAGCTGACCCTGTGCTTTGACCCCAACTTCCTAACAAGCTGGATATGTGAAGAATAAAACTGTACTGCATATGTGACAAAAAAAGGCTTCTTCTTCATAGAGTATTCACACAGACTAAGCTATGTGCTACTTTGGGTTATATATTGGTTTTATATCTTTTGTTTTTGACTGATATGGCAGTGAGTCTACAACAGTGCAATACTGCTTCAAGGTAAATGGCTGTCACTCTTACCTCAATTAAACTCCCTTACATTGGGGCAGAGATTAACTGACTTAATTATACACCCTGTCTGTGACTCGGGGCTGCTTGATACTGATTAAAGATGAGAACGGAGACCAATATGCCCTGTTACATTGTATTTAGCCTGTCACGCTGGTCTGACAGCAAACAGTAGCTCAGTGAGAGACCTAATTACATAATTTCCAAACAATCCCTGCTGATATGCGCTATAATACCCATGAACCATCCTGTACTCCCGCATAACAACAAAACTAAGTGATTTCATAATAGCACAACTTTTGAGGAATCACTGTCCAAATCATTCAGGCACTGCTGCCATGCTTATACTGTCATCTGTCATCACTGGCATTGCTCAAAAAATCAGATTTCGCTTACATACTACTCTAAAGTCTAAAAACACACACATACATATAATGCAATGTTTTCACAAATCCAGCAGACACTGAAAAAGGACATTAAGTGTAAATTAAAAGCCTATTTTAGAAATAACATATAATCATAGAATATCATATTGTTACAGGTACAAAATAAGCAGAACATCGGGGATGCCTCTGCCACCAACAAGTCTAGTCCTTCTTGTTACTTGTAATTTGTATGCCTCAAATACCCTTAAAATATATATCAGAGACAGGAGCAAAGTTACTGAAGACCTTGCTGTGACTTTGACATTGGATCAATAATCAGTTCATCTCCTGGTTACAGTGATCATTCCAAATCTTACAAACATTCAACCACTCGTTCTTGAGATAGCGCGCAAACGAGAATCTCAGACGGATTGACCGATGGCAAAAATCATAGATAGCCAGAAAATGGGCCTTGAGTTCCTGAACATGAAGGTGTAAGAAACATGTCTGTGAGAAACAAGAAGGAAGCTACTGAAGAAAAACTATTTCAGACACTTGACCTTGCTGTGACCTTCACCCTGTTTGGGCCAATTCCAATGTTAAGAAAGCGTTTCTGAGAAATGTTGTCATTTCTCAATGATTGAGTGACTGTATCAGAGACTACACAGCCTGATGAGTCTCCGCACAGTCATTTAATATAAAATAATGCCTCATTAAGAAACAGTGATGATGTAAGCGGGGTCAGAGAGGTTATTAGGTCTCTCATGTCAGTTGGAAAGTTTTAACATTCAACATAAAGACTTTTCTACAAAAATGGAAATGATACCTGATTTACATTACTGTCTTAACCATTTTTGCAATAGTCAACTACAAGCAATTATTTAGTATTAGTTCTAAAAAATTCTATTTAGATTCTAATATCTTTAAATCTCCACTACATAGCTTGGAACTGTGATGGAGTTTGCTCTTGTAGTGTTACTTCAATAGTTGCCTTCACTTCTGAAGATATGTTCTGTTCCTACACATGTTCATTGAACAGAGTAAACACATTTTATCATGGCTCAATGACCTGATTTAAAAAACAAACAAACAGGAAAAAAAAAACCAATAGCATACTGTAGACGTCAGAGCGCTGCACAATACCAAATTGTATGCTGTAAAATATTCATATCACTGCCATGAAATTGGACAAAACATTCTGCCCACACCCTGTTATTCCCTGGAGAGCCATGGTCTCATCATCCGCTCAACAATAGAGCAGCGTGTTGGAGTGAGCCTCTGTACACTGGCCCCTGCCACCTCCCTCATTAAAACGTGGGAAATGGAGGCTCTCGTCAAACAGTGCAGTGAGGAAACTGCCTCGCTCTTTAATGCGACCATGTGGGGAGCAGCCTAAAGGACACATATGTCGAAGGTCTTGCACATTCTCTCATTCTAGAGACACTCTAATTGAGGTCACCTAGTGCTATGCATGAGCTGTGCTACAGGTTATTTCTGGATGTTTTTATGTAAAAGGGGAAACAGACCACTGTATCTTATTCTTTTCCACCTATTGCAATCATAATCCATAGTGGGTATATTCAAATTTATAATCTAAATAGACAGGCAGTGGTCAAAATCAGACAACACTAGAGCAAGAATGAACAAGTAGCTGGGAGCTAGAAAACAAGGAACTAGGAAAGACAAAACTAAGAATATTGAAAATATGGCTTGTAATTGTAGTACTGAAACATACAAAAAGAGAAAAAGAGTTTTGACACAGTTTAATGGGACAAAGTGTGGAAATCTGGAAAGAAAATATAACCTATGTGACAAGATTGTTTTTAAGTGACAGGTAGATATAGAACCAACATCATAGAAAATTGTTAGATTTGCAAACCTGCAAATGAAACATCTGTCAGACAGATGAATCATCTTTACAGACAATTGACTGGGACACCAATTATATGTTGGTGAATTGACACCAGCTTTATTTCATGTCACTGATAGTCAGGGGAGGCATGAGGAAATACTAATCACATCTGCTGTGTGTATATACCTGCATATGCCTCATAGGCTCTGTGATGGACATCTCTTCAGACAGGGAAGCAGTGGTCCTGATGCCAAACTGTCACTGCGAGGAAGAAATGCACATGTCTGAGCAGGCCTCAGTCCATACTTTGTCCAGATTTAAACATCAATTTTACAAAACCCCACCTGTGACTCACAGCTTCCCTGCTGTCAAAAACACCAGCAACCAGATATCATCATCCACAGATATCAAGTAGGATAATATTTAAAACTGCTGTAAGCAATATTAGCTGTTCTTGCTAACTTTCTCTAGACTTAGCCACCCAGTGAGTCCACCCACTCTCTTCTTCACTCCCATCTAAACCTCCAAAGCCCCATGCTACTAAACATGCATACGCACAGTGCACTAGTAATAGTTTCAAGGTTTATTGTCAGTGTCAAAGACAACAAACTTCTACAAAGAAAGCGACATTTGACATGTTGTACATACAAACATGCAACAAAAGACAAGTTCTCACATCCCATCCTCCTCACGTATCCTCTCATTTGCCCATGTTGCACATATTGAACATATATTCATTATTGATTAGTTATTAATCAGTGATCATTAGTGATCAAGAAAGTTGATTTGTCCATGCATATGACTATAACAACAGCAGATGGCCCTGCCGTCATGGGGACACAACTTGTGAAGCTGTCCCAGGCTGTGTGAGAGCACAGGAGGGTTTAGTAGTCCACTGAGAAATGTGCATATATGATAGGCTAGGCCTAGGCATCATTTGCAACTCATCAGATAGGTCCCTATTATAAGTTAATAAGTCAATAAATTACTATCTTATTAATATAATAATTTCCATATTTTGTAAATTGGTAACCTCTGCTGCATTTTTGCAGTAAGAGCTTCCACACCTAGTGAAACTTCCCTCACTAATTACAGACATTTTCTCATATGTAGAGCATCTCTGGTTATTACTTACTTTTGTTCATGCTAAGATGTCATATAAGAAAGGTGCTAAGCTAAGAATGAACACTGACTGGATGTGTAAGCAATTTTGAAATATGTATTAGAATGAGTTATAGTTTGATTATGTAAGTTCCACTATATGAGATATAGTATGCAACACAATTGTTTACATTTCACGGGTTGTGTGTATGTGTGTTTGCTTTTATCCTGGGCAATATGCACAGCGGGGGCCTGAAACTAAGTGTTGTATTTTGTCTAGTTACTAATGCAGTACTAATGGATAACAGCTAGGCCAGGCTAAAGTGCAAATAAGGCTTTCCGCTAGATTTTGGAGCGTGGCTATGGGGATTTGTGCTCATTCAGCCACAAGAGCATTACTGAGGAGGTCTGGGGTGCAGTCAGTGTTCCAACTCACCCCAATGTGTTAATGTGTTAATACTATAATCAAGGTGGCTCAGAATACACCTGGAAGTACCTCAGTGTCAGGCTGTTCACGCGTGGATGCCACAAAATGTTAGGGAGAGTGCAACTAATTGGAATGACTTCATTATATTGTTCCAGTGTTTGGATAAAACTATATAAAACAGCTTTAGAGACTTCCTCTCCTGACTGCCTTAGCATAAGATCTTTACTGTAGAATGTAACAGCTTGAATTTGTGTCATGTAGTTGAACATTTTAAATATTCATTAAGATCAACAACTGCACTCAGACATTACCAGTCACAGCATGTGCCTAATATGGAAGTATGTTACCAATGGCCTAATATTTTACTGATTTGTCATTGACGTCAACAAAGCAAAACTGAAACAGCAGCCCTCTAGTTCGTGTATTAGGATAATTATGTATAATTATCTTGCTGAGGTCAGACATGAATGTGCAATGACCCAAATTATGAAGGTGAACCATTTTATTGAGCATAGGCTACTTAGCTGTCTGATGTTAATGCAGTTATGTCATAGTATTATATAAATGCCTCGGTTTGAAGGTTGTGGTTGATGAGATAATCCAAAAAATTTAACTAACTGAAAAGGTGCATAACAAACCTAAATAAATCACTGTTTTTTTTTATGTATTTTTTGCAGTGTAGCCACCAACTGCACTAACTACAGGATTTTAGAGGATTTGTAATTTTGTAGTTGATAATATTTCTTTATATATTCTATATATATTCACTGGTGACTTTCTTACTTTTTAAATGTGCTCTGTAAACTCTAGTTAGTTAGTTTCCTCAAGCCAAAAATGGTTCATAAATCAGTAAAATATTAGGCCATTGCTTTCATACTTCCAGACTAGGCTCATACTGTGAGTAGGCAAGTCTAAGAGCAGTTGAAGAACTCTGGCTTATTTGACTTGTATATATGCCTAATTAAATCACT